ATGCTATTTATTGTTCTATATTTTGTATATGCTTCTATATAAATTCAATGAAAATATGTAGCGTAGTACTATGTTTATCGTTATCAATATTATAAAAATATAAAAGTTAATCACAAAGTACATAATTTTAGTAAATAACTATTAGAAAATTACAATATTTCGAAGGTTTTTTATCGAATAAGCTTGGAACACTTCAAAAAAAATTCGGATCAAAATTGTAAATGTTAGAATCTCAAGTGCATACATTCCAATTTCCGTCGAATTGGTTTTAAAATATTTGAATTCCGATTCAAAATTTTAATGACGAAATCGAAAAATTCCAAGCCAACTTGAAAATATGATATGACTGGAAAATAAAATATGAGGAGACCAAGTAAAACATGTTAGAAAATAAAATAAATGTTAATTAGCATCATAAGGTTACAATTTACTCAATTTAAAAATAAACAGTCTTTATCATGATATGAGAGGCCTCGTGTTGTTGACTAGCATCATTAACCAAGATAAGGTTCAAACATCAAATGAAACTCGGGATCCATTGAATTTTTGACCGTTCATTCAATCATCCATTGTTTCGTTTTGGATTTAGTTTAAGTACAACAACAATAAAGTCTTATCTCATTAAATGAGGTCGGATAATTTCGTTTAGAGTTCATTATCATAAGGGATTCAACATGAGAATGGAGTGCCGATTGTCGATTACTTGACGCGCTCCCCTCCTCCTTCATCTGGGCTTGAGACCAGCAGTGTAAGATAAACTTACACAGGTGAAGTTTGGTTTGCAGTTAAACTAAAAGTAATTAATTGTGTGAAATAGTCAAAAGAAATCCATTTAAGGTTTGTGAAAGATAATGATTTGAGTGTCATATGAGTGGGAGCATTATTAATTCTTGCTTTACTGCTTTAGTGGTTAAGCAAACGTAGAAATTCTCTTGACCTTTTATACATGGGGCAGCATGTTGGTGAAACTGACTCATTACTCCAAAACTACTCTTGACTCTTCCACTCCATGAAGTACATTGTCTTTCTGTGCGTGTCGGTGGCTGTCAACCATTGAAGATGAATTGTGAGATTCATTTTTTCTAACGGCTGATAGCCACCGAAACGGGTGAATTCGTTCTTGAGAAAGAAGTAAGATTTGGGGCAACCAACCAATTTGGATATCATATTTCGTTTAGCAAGACATATAGTTTGAAGTACATGATAGTACTAAGAAATTTCGAAATGACGGAATTCAAAGAGATAGGTTTCAGATTCTGTATTTTGATAAATCAATCTGAAAACATGAGTGGGGGCAACTAGAACACCGATAGTAGCGTTACAGTAACAAAAGAACAATGGTGATGACAATTCAAGGCCACCAAAGCCGGGCAACAAGGGAAGCGAGGTGAGATAATCATTTCGGCCTTGGTTCCCCGTTTTCTGGACAAAACTCAATCACTTAAATTCTTAATAATTGTGTATACAAAAGTGTAATTTAACTAAAACACATACAAAACCACCTTCCCTTCATAATTCCTACTATAACTTGGGCCCTGATGATGAATGGTGGGCAAGTAATGTGTTCTTGTCTACTAATTCTATGTGAAATTCACATAATTCATATGCTATAATTCTCTGCCCTTTCCCAATCATTTTACCAAATATTTGTTTCATTGTTGATTAAGTACCTAAAACCCCCCAACCTTTTAGTGTCATTCTAAATTGGGCTTAACATTTTTAAACATTCCAAACAAGTACCCAACCTATTGAAATGTCACATCTATTAAGGCTTAGTTAAAAATCTTTTAAATTAACTAGACCATACTTTGTCTCCAAAATCACTCAAAGGTCATGGAAGCATGTCATCCATCAACAAACAGTCGCCACCAGCCCCACCATGCCATCACCTTTAAAACCAACACAAAACCACTAACTTTACCCTACAACTCTAGCCGCCAACATCGAAAAGAAGGTCATGGAGGTTGCTGAAATGGTATGGACTGTCATGATGCAACCACCACCATCTTCATCACTCACAAAGAAGAACTAGAAGCTTTACAAGCCGAGAATCAGCGTATGAGGAAATCACGAGCAGAAACAAGCTCATTGAAACGTTATCTGAACTCTTAACCCTCTTCTTTGTCAAGAGATTGCCCTCCTAATATAATTTCAATTTGTGTCTATTTTTTATTTAATTCAATACTCGTTTGTTCATTGGGTTCCATATTACATAATCTATGTTTGAAATTAAAATTTTGAGGCAACTAAAATTAATGTTGACTATGATAAACCCAATTGGTGGATTTTGAACATAATCTAGGTTTGAAAAATTAATTGGGGCTTAACAGATGTGACATTTTCACTAGGTTAGGTACTTGTTTAGAATGTTTAAAGAGCTTGAAACCAATCTGGAATGAGACTAGAAGGTTGGGGAATTTTAGGTACTTAATCCTAAAATTTAATATTGCTTTTAATACTGTGTTCATTTTTCTGTATTTCCTCCTATTCTGGTGCTAAAAGAACTAAAAGCAAAACTTCTTCTCATGCTAATCTTATATGAATCACAAAAGAGATCAACGGAACCAAAAAGCTGCATTTAAAATAATAATTGCTGCAGTGTAATTCACATGCTATACAAAGCTGCACATATGTTCTGGGGTTTTTTTTCTTTACGGGAATGCTCCTATCAAGGCTCTATCTTTATTGCTTACCTCTGAACTTGTTTGTAAGAGCACCAATCCAGGCCCTGTCCTTATCACTATATGCATACCTCATGGTGGAAGCCAACAAGACAAATCCCTCAACTTTCTGGATCGCATTGTCAATTGAATGCTCAACTTGGAGAATCGGTTGTACAAGGAGAGAACGAGTCCCCTGCGGTAGCATCTCCCAAAGTCCAGAATCTGAAACATGAATCAAGGTTTCAATACTATTCCAAGAAAAGACAGTCATTTTAAAAAACAGCGCTGATTAAATAATGCACAAGTTATAGCTACCTTCAATCTGAGATAGGTATAGGGTCTCCTTCAAATCAGAAATGCCAACACTTTCAATCTGTTTCTCAAGCCAACCAAGTGCGTTGGCTTTTGAAACCTCATCTGGTATGTTCCAATAGCCGCGTATACACAATTCATTTTGTACGGATATCATCTGAAATATTAGGAACAACTACATCTGAAGAGCTTATATAAAACATTTGCAAACATAAGCACATAATTTATTTGTTCAGTTACTTATCACTCTCTAGCAACACAACAGAATTTTTTACATAGTCATCCAAAATAATATTGATTTTGTCTCTCCATCTATCTGCCAGGTAAATTTTTTTACTGTGAAGTTCCAAATGTAATAAAAACCTGTTGTGTACCACTGCTATGGTGTTTGTATTGCGCAACAATATGTATGTAGCCCAAGCCAAGTCCTCCTTCTGAGTATCTGAGACATTATGTGATATAACAAATATTTGCTCACACCCTTGTGGGATGGTCGTCTGATCCATCGGAGTAGCACCCTGCAATATAACTCCACATAATCAGGCTTACAAAAAGGCTGAGTAGGCAGTGCACACAACAAGCTACTCGCATATTCGAAATTTTTTATTAGAAAAACAGAGTGATCGCCTGTTTTCTCTATGGGAACTGGGTTACGATTGAACTCTCAGTGTTGAATGGTATAAGTTGTACTAGTTCTACCTATTCTAACTCACATAAGGAAATGGTATTCTCTTATCCGGTTAAGCCGGTGGAAAACAGAAATGCTGTATCATCTTCAAAAGTAAAATGGAACTAAGGGTTGTTAACAGTTCATATCTTTTGCACCGTAGAAGCGCTTATCCATCGAATTTCAGCATCAATCGGGTCATGAATTTAACACCAATGTTAATTGTAATCTAATTAAGTGGAATTTATAAGTGCCTTGAAAAGTATACCTTGAGAAATTTTCCAAGATAGGGAAGTGCGACAGAGAATGCAGCCAAAGACAGACCCAAAGCCTCCGTCCTCTATCCGAAAACCCAACAAAAAACACACAAACCCACAAAAATTAACATAAAATCCAACACAAACTGAAACAAATACAACACAAGAAAAAACGTTTCATTCTCTTACAAGCTGTGCTGGGGTTGCAGTGGAACCAACAAAATGGTTCAAAATCAAAAGCGAACCGAACCCATATCCAATCCATCTTGGTAAGTAGGATTCGTCCAGCCCAGGTATTCCTACCCAAAACCCATCAATCCATCACAATCGAAATCTCAGTCCAGAGAAAGAGAGAGAAAGAGAGCGAGAGAGTTACCGAGTGTGAAGCGGAGGACGGAGAGGTTGAGTTGGGGGTCGGTGGAGGTGCTTTTGGAATCGTCGAGACGAGCGGAGACTGGTAAGAAATTTGTGGGGAACTTTCTGGCGCCAAATTTGGGGGGGATTTGGATTTTCAACTGAATTAACGGATTTGGGGAAAGAATGGAGCTGGTGTTGGTCATATTTTCTGAGGTACTTTTTCTGCTTCTGTGGGTGGCTTGGGAGCTGAGAAAAAGTGGGAATGAGTGGGGTGAAATGCTAACTTTGAAGAGACAGTCCACTGGTCCAAGTTGAGATTAGGCCCAACTTTGAAATTTTGGGAACTCCTCGCTTGTGGAACCCTAACTTGCACACACAGTCACGAATACTGAGACATACACGAATAATCATATATACATAGCATCTTTTTAATCATACGTCTTGTCCACATGTAAACTTGAAAATCCGTCACACGTGTGAGGATGTGTTGAGAGTTATCCCGCATCGGTGAGAGACAAGGTTTGCTATATGCTTATATAATCTTAAGCTACCCTCAGTATTGAGGTTTGCTATATGTTTATATAATCTTGAGCTACCCTCAGTATTGAAGTTTGCTATGTGCTTATAGGTTCCGACGAGTCTTCCAACCTAGAACCGAAACCTATATTAACTTTTCTTAATCAACATATTTTTTTACACTTTATTTTGTCACAGTCTAATGAGGCAATCCAATACTCATAGCGTCACCGCGCAGCAGCATGGAACAATTTTCCGCATGTTTGGTTAGCTTTCATACTCAACTCCCCCACTCGACGCTTCGAGGGGAAGCAGCAGCACACAAATTCAAGAAATTCCCAAACAATGATAATCTTCTTCTCCTCAATCTTCCACACCAAACTAATCCGACCCTTCTCTTCTTCTTCATCTCCTTGCCGAACCAACCTCCCGGAACCCCCACCTCTTCAGACTCTGCTCAAAAGCGGCTTCTCTCCCACTCTCAAATCCATCGTCCAATTCCTTCTCTTCCTCTCTCGAACCCGCCGGTTCGACACCCTCGTCCACTTCTTCTCCCAAATGGAGTCCAACCAAATCAAAGGCAGCGCCCAAACGCACGTAATTCTCACCTGGGCTCTCCTAAATTTGCAGAAATATGAAGAAGCAGAGCATTTTATGAGGACCCGGATGGTCGAAGCTTCGAGTTTGCGGCGGAATCGGATGTGGGACTCTCTGATTCAAGGCCTATGTGTCAACCGGAAAGACCCCGAGAAGGCTTTGTTGGTGTTGCGGGATTGCTTGGGGAGCTACGGTATTTTTCCTTCTTCTTTCACTTTTTGCTCGTTAATTCGTTCGTTTAGCAATCAGGGGGATATGAGCAAGGCAATTGAGGTGCTGGAATTGATGACTGATGAGAAAGTTAAGTACCCTTTTGATAATTTTGTTTCTAGTTCAGTAATTTCCGGGTTTTGTAAGATTGGGAAGCCGGAAATCGCAGTCAAGTTTTTCAAGAATGCTGTGGCTTCGGGAGCTTTAGAGCCTAATGTTGTGACTTATACAGCACTTGCAGGTGCTCTTTGTAAATTGGGTAGAGTTAATGAGGTTTGTGATTTGGTTTGTAGGGTTGAGAAGAGAGGTTGGGCATTTGATGTTGTTTTCTTCAGTATTTGGATTTGTGGTTATATTTCGGAAGGGGTTCTAATGGAGGTATTTCGGAAGAATAGAAAGATGGTGAACAAAGGCATAAGACCTGATACAATTAGCCATAGTATTATGATAGATGGGTTTTCCAAGCTAGGAGATGTGGAAAAAGCGCTCGGTATTGTAATAAAGATGAGGAAAGATGGGCTTGAACCCAATTTGATCACGTATACTGCCATCCTGTTGGGGTTTTGCAAGAAAGGGAAAATGGAGGAGGCATTTGCTATTTTCAAGATGGTTGAAGATTTGGGAATTGTAGTTGATGAATTCATGTATGCAACTTTAATTCACGGGTCCTGCATGAGAGGAGATCTCGATGATGTTTTTGATTTGCTACATAAAATGGAGGAGAGGGGGATTAATCCAAGCATTGTCACATACAATACTGTAATTAATGGATTATGCAAATTTGGGAGGACATGCGAGGCTGATGAGATCTCAAAGGGTATACTTGGAGATACAATTACATATAGTACGCTGCTACATGGATATATTGAGGAAGAAAATACCACGGGGATTCTTGAAACGAAGAGAAGATTGGAGGAAGCCGGAGTCTACATGGATGTTGTTATGTGTAACATACTTATCAAAGCACTGTTCATGGTGGGGGCATTTGACGATGCTTATATACTATACAAGGGAATGCCAGATAAGGGTTTGGTTGCAGATTCCAGTACATATTGTACAATGATTGACGGGTACTGTAAAGCTGGTAGAATGGATGGGGCACTTGAGATATTTGATGAGTTCAGAAGGACACTAGGTTCCTCCGTTGCATGTTATAATTGTATTATCAGTTCGCTCTGTAAGCAGGGAATGGTAGATATGGCCGCAGAGGTATTTATTGAACTCAGTGGGAAAGGTTTAGGTTTGGATGTAGGTATCTATAATATTCTGTTGAAGGCAATTTTTGAAGACAAAAGTGCAGTTGGAGTTATAAATTTGGTTCGACGGATTGATAGTTTGAAGACAGAAGTGTATGATATTGTTTGCAATGATGCTATCAGCTTCTTGTGCAGGAGAGGTTTTCCTGAGTCTGCATGTGAAGTGTATTTGGTGATGAGGAGGAAAGGGTCAGTTGCCACAAGCAAAACTTACTGTTCAATTTTAGAAGGTCTTATCAGTGATGGGAAAGAGTGGCTAACTCAATCCTTCTTGACCATCTTTGTGAAAGAATATGGCCTAGAAGAACCCACGGTAAGCAAGATTCTAGCTTACTACATAAGTCTGAAGAATGTTGATGATGCTTTCTGGTTTCTACACAAAATGAAGGATAAGCCTGCAGCCGTCACTTTGCCTGTTAGTCTTTATAAGACACTTATAAAGACTGGTAGAGTTTTGGATGCATATAAACTTGTCATGGTGGCCGGAGATGGTCTACCTATCCTGGATGCATTTGATTATTCACTTATGGTTGATAGTCTTTGTAAACGAGGACATATCAGTGAGGCATTAGATTTGTGTAGTATTGCTAAAAATAAAGGAGTGGCCCTTGATATCATCACTTATAATTCAGTTATAAATGCATTATGCCGCCAAGGCCACCTTGTTGAAGCATTTCGGCTATTTGATTCATTAGAGAGAATTAATTTGGTACCCACGGAAATCACATATGCTACATTGATTGATGCCTTACGTAGACAGGGTTTTCTTTTGGATGCCAAGGAGTTATTTGAGAGGATGGTTCTCAAGGGCTTTAAGCCAAATACACATGTTTACAACTTGATTATTGATGGTTATTGCAAAATTGGAGATATGGATGATGCCTTGAAGCTTCTTTATGAATTGGATTTAAAATCCCTCAGGCCTGATGAATTCACTGTTAGTATTATAATCAATGGCTTTTGTCTAAAGGGTGATATGGAAGGAGCTCTTGAATTCTTTGTTGAGCTCAAGGAAAAAGGTACATTACCTGATTTTTTGGGTTTCTTATATTTACTAAGAGGTCTATGCGCTAAGGGAAGGATGGAAGAAGCCAGAACCATCTTGAGAGAAATGCTCAACTCCCAGTCTGTTTTGGAGCTAATAAATAGAGTTGATGTTGAGGTTGAAACAGATTCATTAGAAGGTTTTCTTGCATCTTTATGTGAGCAAGGCCGTATCGAAGAATCACTTACTGTCCTTAATGAAATTGGGTGCATGTTTTTCCCTGTTAGAGGTTCACCTAATAATCACCAACAATTTCTTAAATTAGACAAGCCTTATGACAGGGAGCCTTCTGGTATAGTTGTTTCAAATTCTGTAACCTCCACCGGTGCAGATTTGGATATTCAGCTTTGTGAAATGAAGAAAGTAGAGAAGGTGGCGGAAAATTATGACGGTGGAGGGAGATGGTCTCAGTTTAAAGATTTTGACGATTGCTATAAGCAAGTTGCCACACTCTGTTCATGTGGGGAGATACAAAAGGCTAGTCAATTAGCAAAGGAGATGGTTTCTAATTTTAGAAGGGCCAGTTAGTATAATAGAAAAATCCGGCTAAAGTGATGTTGGAACCTTCTTCCCCTTCATTGAGGGAACAGGTGCCATGCATGCAGTTGCAGGTATATTTTTTCATTCTTTGAAGGTTTGCCTACTCTTTCAAGTTAAATAATTGTTGATTACATGTGTTATGTATGTGGGCTCTGTTTATTTATTTCATTGTGTTATGCTATTTAATTTTTTAGTTTTGGAAAGGCATATATGTATTGTTTCTGAGCAATCTTTCTTTGAATATGTCCAATTGATAATACGAATGATCTTATACATTCACTTTTTCACGATGGTATCCAAAGACTTTTGGACTTCCGTTGGTTTTTTTATCAGTCTCGCAGATAAGCAAACATATTGATTAAAAGTTATAAATTCAGACTATGCTTTAATATATTGGTTTTGATACTGTTTTGATTTGCTGTTAATATTTCTTCTTTTTGGGCTTATGTAATCTCTGTGTGTGTGTGTGCGCGCATATATGTGAATGCGTATTTATATGTACACACATTCTTACATATATGGATGTATATATACATAACATAGATAGTATATAAAGAATACTTCATTGGATGATTATGCCCTAAAGTACAACTTTTAGCTTGTAACAGAATACTGTCAAGCTAAACGGTTTCAGTTGGTGGAACTTGAAGCATGAAAATTGAAAGCGATAGTAATACATAATGGATGGTTTTGCGCCAGTTAAACTTTGTGTGGCATCATTAAGATGAAAAGGTAGCCCTCTACATTGTTTCAATTCTTTGTTTGTTTTTCTTTTGTCTGTTTGAATATGTCGTGTTAACTCATCCATTTTGCGTTGGTAATGGATGAGTTAACACGACATATTCAAGATGATATTCCTTGGTGTATGCTTTTCGCAGACGATATAGTGTTGATAGATGAAACTCAGGAAGGGGTAAATGCAAAGCTTAACCTTTGGAGAGAAGTGTTGGAATCTAAAGGTCTTCGCCTAAGCCGATCAAAGACAGAATATATGGAGTGCAAGTTCAGTGCAAATGGAGGTCAAAACGAGTTAGGGGTGAGGATCGGAGATCAAGAAATACCAAAGAGCGACCGTTTTCGTTACCTAGGATCTATCTTGCAAAAGAACGGAGAATTAGATGGAGATCTCAACCATAGAATACAAGCTGGATGGATGAAGTGGAAGAGTGCATCCGGCGTGTTGTGTGACCGCCGTATGCCACTGAAGCTCAAGGGAAAATTTTATAGGACGGCAATAAGGCCGGCGATGCTGTATGGCACAGAATGTTGGGCGGTGAAACATCAACACGTACACAAAATGGGTGTAGCGGAGATGAGGATGCTTCGTTGGGATGTGTGGGCACACGAGAAAGGATAAGATTAGGAATGAGGATATCCGGGGTAAAGTAGGAGTAGCCGAAATTGAAGGAAAGATGAGAGAAAATCGGTTACGGTGGTTTGGACATGTGCAAAGAAGGCCTACTGACGTTCCGATTAGAAGATGCGACTATGGGACAGAGGTTCAGGGCCGAAGGGGTAGAGGAAGACCTAGGAAAACTTTGGAAGAGACTCTAAGAAAAGACTTAGAGTACTTAGATCTAACGAAGGACATGACACAGGATCGAGGCACAATGGCGTTCTAAGATTCATATAGCCGATCCCACTCAGTGACTTGGATTTTCCAAGTCTCCAACTGAGAAGTTTTCCTCACTCGGGAAATTAAGGGAACACTACCCCAACCTACATGCTCCACTCAGAAAGCTTCAACATACAAGCTTTAACAAAAGAAAATTCAAAGAACTTAGCGAAGAAGGCTTTGGTGTATTTAACACAATACGTTGAAATGAAGGAAAGCTTATTTATTGATATCCCCGATAAGCTACAAATATGTACATATACATGAGTCAAAATAAGCACACAAGAGGGAGCCTTCACAAAGGTTGCTTAGGAGAAGTCTCAGCAGTCGGTAGAGCCCCAGAAAGAGAAGGCACCGGAGGGGGATCATTTGGAGCCTCAGTACTGGACAGATTCCTAGAAGGAGGAGGCATCAGAGGTTGATCATTTGGAGCTTCATTACGCGGTACAGCCCCAGAAGACGAAGGCAATAAATGCCTTTGGAAACAAACCCACAAATCTCTGATGATCAAGTAAAACCTGACCATCAGTTTCCTTCATCTGGTCAAGCTTCCTCTTCATGTTTGTAGCATAGTCATGTGCGAGCCGGTGCAACTGTTTATTCTCATGCTTGAGCCCTCTAATCTCCTGTTTGAGACTCATCACTTCAGCCGCCAATGATTCAACTTGGCGGGTTCGAGCAAATAGGCGTTGGGCCATATTAGACACAGAACCTGCACACTGAACACTGAGAGCCAGCGAATCCTTAACAGCTAACTCATCAGACCGTTTGGAAAGTAGTCTGTTATCTTTGGGAGTGAGAAGGTTCCTGGCCACCACCGCAGCGGTCATATCATTCTTTTATCACGGAATCCCCAACGGTAAGAGGACCAGTAGGGGAGACGAAGGATGGGCGCCATATGTTGTCTGGAGAAGGCGGGGCTGCCTCTTCAACAAGGTTCAAGTCAAAACGACGGTCGGAGGGGCCAGACATTTTCAAAGGTGTTGAAGAGAGAAGAGGTCGGACAAATCAAGATCTTAGAAGTGCAAGAATGAAGCTTCTACTGGTGGAGATTCAAGTGTGCTTTGGAACTTAATGCCAGCCCCTATAAAAATCTGCACTCGACGAAGCTTCAGAAATCGAAGAGGCGCCTGCTCAGAAATCGAAGAGGCGTTTGCTTTCTCAAAAGCTGGGCTGCTTAGAGATCACGAGGGTTGATCTCAGAAATCGAAGAGGCGTTTGCTTTCTCAAAAGTTGGGCTGCTCAAAGACCACGAAGGCCGATCTCAAAAATCGAAGAGGCGCTCGCTTTCTCAAAAGCTGGGCTCCCCAGAGACCACGAGGGCCGATCTCAGAAATCGAAGAGGCACCTACTTTTCCAGCCTTTTCCAGCCTTGTCAGCACCTGTCACACGCACACTCAGTTTTGCGGAAATTATGGGCATTCTGTCAAAGACTTCTGGGGAAGTAGAAAACACATGAATCTTACTGTTCAATCACCCACTTCCCACACGCAACAATAGCTCATGGGTACCACAGATAACTTTGCCAAAGTTCTCTGCCAAAGTTGAGCACGTGAAGCTTGCAGCTCCCACTACATCGCTCTGACCAAGAAGGGTAAAAGAATAGCAAAAGAACAGCACTAACAAAGTTTAGACCATAAATTTTGAAGGTCTAGCTACCATATTATTACCCACAAGGGTAAAGGAACAGTACCACTGCTGGATAATTGGAAAGTCCCTGTGTTGTCAACCTCTGTGCTTCGTGGCAAGGTAGACTAGCAAACATGCCCAACCTTTACTCACATTCGAGAAAACACTCCCAATAAGATTGCTTGCTCCAAAATCGAAGAGGCACCGTCCTCCGAATCTCGAGAGCCAGACTCCCAACATGACTACTTTCTTAAAAATCGAAGAGAGGGTAAAGGAACAGTACCATTGCTGGATAATTGGAAAGTCCCTGTGTGTCAACCTCTGTGCTTCGTGGCAAGGTAGACTAGCAAACATGCCCAACCTTTACTCACATTCGAGAAAACACTCCCAACAAGATTGCTTGCTCCAAAATCGAAGAGGCACCGCCCTCCGAATCTCGAGAGCCAGACTCCCAACATGATTACTTTCTCAAAAATCGAAGAGACACTGCTCCTCGAATCTCGAGAGCCAGACCCCCAGCATGATTGCTTTCTCAAAAATCGATGAGGCATCGTTCTCCGAATCAATCGAAGAGGCGCTCGCTTTTCTCAAAAGCTGGGCTGCTCAGAGACCACGAGGGCCGATCTCAGAAATCGAAGAGGCACCTACTTTTCTAGCCTTGTCAGCACCTGTCACACGCACACTCAGCTTTGCAGAAATTATGGGCATTCTGTCGAAGACTTCTGGTGAAGTAGAAAGCACATGAATCTTACTGTTCAATCACCCACTTCCCACACGCAACAATAGCTCATGGGTACCACAAATAACTTTGCCAAAGTTCTCTGCCAAAGTTGAGCACGTGAAGCTTGCAGCTCCCACTACATCGCTCTGACCAAGAAAGGTAAAAGAATAGCAAAGAAACAGCACTAACAAAAGTTTAGACACATAAATTTTGAAGGTCTAGCTACCATATTATTACCCACAACTGTAAAGGAACAGTACCACTGCTGGATAATTGGAAAGTCCCTGTGTGTCAACCTCTGTGCTTCGTGGCAAGGTAGACTAGCAAAACATGCCCAACCTTTACTCACATTCGAGAGAAAACACTCCCAATAAGATTGCTTGCTCCAAAATCGAAGAGGCACCGTCCTCCGAATCTCGAGAGCCAGACTCCCAACATGACTACTTTCTCAAAATCGAAGAGAGGGTAAAGGAACAGTACCATTGCTGGATAATTGGAAAGTCCCTGTGTGTCAACCTTTGTGCTTCGTGGCAAGGTAGACTAGCAAACATGCCCAACCTTTTACTCACATTCGAGACAACACTCCCAACAAGATTGCTTGCTCCAAAATCGAAGAGGCACCGCCCTCCGAATCTCGAGAGCCAGACTCCCAACATGATTACTTCCTAAAAAAATCGAAGAGACACTGCTCTCCGAATCTCGAGAGTCATACCCCCAGCATGATTGCTTTCTCAAAAATCGAAGAGGCATCGTTCTCCGAATCTCGAGAGCCAGATACCACAGACCACTTTTTCAAAGTGCTCTGACAGAGTTAAAACATGTGAAACTGGCAGCTCCCACTACCGTGCTATGACCAAGCAGGGTAAAGGAATAGCATTACTACTTGTTGTTAGGGAGACTCCTATATATGTCGACCTCCATCCCCAACGGACAGGCAGACCTGCAAAAATGCTCAACCCTTCATCATATCTGAGAGGGCACTCCCAACGAAGCCTTTCGAAATATTCAGCTTTCTTTCCCCCCGATAATACCTCTGCAAACAAGCTATACTAGAGCAAGAATATCTCATATCATCAGGGTTAAAAGCAAGAGTATCCCATATCATGCTTTTTCCCTGTCTTTTCTTTTGGCCTTGTTTTTACCTGCAAGACAAGGAGAAAGAGAGCAATCAGTCAGCACTTGGAATCAAGCTCCCAGCCAGGAACTGACTGCCTGGAACCCCTTACCTGATTACTTACCTGGCATTGCTCTCGAGTACTCATCTTCAACATCTTATGTTTCCAGGGAAGATTCCGCATCTGCTTGAGGAACAGATAGGGCAAGTGCGAAGGATACAAGGAAGCATGTGGAGACAAGCGTAACAGCACACGTGCCGATACATTCACTACTCTGTCAAAAGCAAAAAGTATCCCATATCAGCAGGGTGGAACGTACTCTAGATTTGATGGACTTGTTTTGACCCTCAAATTCTTCAGTCGGCCTTATACTCTGGAGGAAACCAGAAAACCCTCCAGCTCAGTTCAAGAATAAGCCTGTGGAAAGTTACTTCTTCAAAAGCAAAAGTATCTCATATCATCTCTTCTCTCATTTTTCTTCTCTTTATCCTTCATGCTGCTGCAAGATGGGGAGAAGGTGAACAATCAGTCGGAGCTCTGATTGCTTACCTTGTCTGTCACCTCTTTCAGCAGACCCCCTAGCTCGGCGACTTGGGGGACTCCTACTACATGGTTTGTATCGCGCTTGACCAAGCCTGAAACTACAAGTAAGCTTCAAGTGAAATTGATACATTACCTTGTGCATCTCCACCAGTTAAAGATACCACCCCTGGATGGAGGAAGAGTACTTCCAGAGAAGATGCCACATTCTACCTATGAGACAGATAAGGCAAGTCAAGACGACACCACACTCCGATACTTAGAAGTTTCGTGACTACGAGATCATTCTCCCACAATATTTCCTAATGTCATTTGTACTAAATCATTCACTTGTACTCACTAAATGAGAGCTTGAACCTATGTACTTGTGTAAACCCTTCACAATTAATGAGAACTCTTCTATTCCGTGGACGTAGCCAATCTGGGTGAACCACGTACATCTTGTGTTTGCTTTCCTATCTCTATCCATTTATATACTTATCCACACTAATGACCGGAGCAATCTAGCGAAAATCACAAAAAGCGATCGTTTTCGCTACCTAGGATCTATCTTGCAAGAGAACGGAGAATTAGATGGAGATCTCAACCATAGAATACGAGCTGGATGGAAAGAGTGCATCCGGCGTGTTGTGTGACCGTCGTAGGCCACTGAAGCTCAAGGGAAAATTTTATAGGACGGCAATAAGGCTAGCGATGTTGTATGGCACAGAATGTTGGGTGGTGAAGCATCAACACGTACACAAAATGGGTGTAGCGGAGATGAGGATGCTTCGTGGGATGTGTGTGGGCACACGAGAAAGGATAAGATTGGGAATGAGGATATCCGAGGTAAAGTAGGGAGTAGCCGAAATTGTAGGAAATATGAGAGAAAATCGGCTCCGGTGATTTTGAACATGTGCAAAGAAGGCCGACTGACGCTCCGGTTCGAAGATGTGACTACGGGACAGAGGTTCAGGGCCGAAGAGGTAGAGGAAGACCTAGGACAACTTTGGAAGAGACTCTAAGAAAAGACTTAGAGTACTTGGATCTAACGGAGGACATGACACAAAACCGAGCGCAATGGCGTTCTAGGATTCATATAGCCGACCCCACTTAGTGGGAAAAGGCTTTGTTGTTGTTGTTGTTGTTGTTTGAATTTATTGGTTAGTTACAGAAACCTGCTGCACAATATGGCATTCAACCCGATGCTGCCCTTGCTGTTGAATGATACATTGGAAAAACTTGACGGATGTTTTTTTTTTCAGGTAATTTACTAGCTCAGATGCATGAGTATTAGGTTAAACTTTCATCTGTTTTTTTTTTTGAACTTTTGACCGGAATGTGTGGTGTTTTTTTAGTTCCCTGAATTATGGGCCTACCTATTCTGCTCGGCCTTCAAACTAAGTTTCAAAATTTATTTACATTTTCCATACTCCTTTCGTAATAACTAACCTGGGATGATTATCATACTTTCTTTGTCATTGTTGTTTTGCCGGTATTTGTAAAGAATCATTTGCGTTTTATCGGCATCTGAAAAAAATTCTTTGAACCTCTTGCAGGTTCCTCTGTAATAAGTGCAAACTGATAATGCTTGTTGCACATATCAGTTTGTATTTTAATGCTTATTACGGCATATATCGTCAACTAAATCCTGTTCTTTCGTTTATTTCGGTGCTAAATCCTTTTAAATTCACGTTACTGGTGGATGATCATGTTTTCTCAAGGAGTTTTGGTAGCTATACGTTGAGCTAACAATCTCTCTCTCTTTAATCTCAGCCAAGGGACTTGGTGCAACCGGGTGACACTAGTTGGATTTAATCTCAACAAATGATGTCTGTTGAAAACAACCTGAGGTGTTTGCAGAATCATGCCAATTGTCGCTCAAGTTCCCGGGATGCGGATGTTGATCAGTAGATCTGCCAATTCGTTGCTGTAAATGCAGAAGTGAGGAACAAAATTTAGCAAGCTTTGGTGAATGATGTAATCATTGTTCTAAAAATTCTCACTTAGGTGGCTGGCCACCGTCCCGATTAATTCTTAGGGGTTTGAAAATTAAGAAAGGGCGCATAGACCGATTTCTAGGTTGGGACACCCACTTGTACAAAAAATTAATAACTTTCCCTTTGCGTTTTATTTTTTCAAGAAAATGTAAGAGACTTGTTGAATTCTTGAATGAACGCTCACTATGTTTTAATACTCAATATGTATCCCAATACATTATAATTTCTAAGTCATTTTTATTTTGTAATTTATGTATCACAATACAATTATGTATTTTTTAAAGTATAAATAGGCAGCTATTTATACAATATCTAATAAATATACTTAAATCCGTCTGGTCTGCATGGCCGTCCAGGCGCTAGGTCCTAGCCCGTCGCCCGACTAACCACACATGGAACGCACACACGAGAAAGGGATAAAACGCAAGGAACGCTTGCCGCTTCATTCTGTTGTGGCTTCTGTGGTTTCAGTAAAACTCAAGACCGTTGGAAAGCTAAACCCCAAATTCGGAGCCTTAACGAAGTTGTATAAGAAAACTTTATACATTCGTATCAATGCGTTAGCAGAAAACGGAAAATTTGTTCTACTGTTTTAACAACAGCATTGCATGCCAGGGTTTTCTCCGTCGCCGCTGGAGTTTGTCATCCACACATCAATTAGTAGTCCAAATGAGCAAAATTGTTCACAATTCCACGCATCTGTCATTCGGCGTAAGAGAAATTCAACTGAACAACTTGTTTATTCCATTACAGAGATTAATTTACTTGCATATAATTCTTCTTCTGCTAAATAATATTAACATTTCACAATCGCATATCCAACAAAACTTGTTCCGACGGAGATATGAGTTTTCAACAATCTGTAGAACGAGAAAATCTGAGAGTAACACAAATGTAAGGGGGAGAAGAAAAATCAGTGCTTCATATTCCTAAAATGGTCCTTATCTGGTCTGGAGGGTGCCTCGCCAGCGACTTAGGATCTGAGTAGTCATTTTTGGGATCCATAATTGCCTCGTACGTAAGGTCATATGCTTCGGCCAATGATTTAGCCACTTGGATACAAGCTTCAGAACGCAACTTCGGAACCTGCATCTGCTCAAATTCAGGCAGGGAACTTTCACTTCCCAAGACAAGCCCAAAGAAAGCCTTCAAACACTCGGAAAGAGATGCTGGAGAAGTGTCCTCTATCTCTACCAATGGGGTAGTGCCAGTCTCCTTGCTGAGTGAGTCACGGAAGTAAGTCATCTTCTGCGACAATCCACATCTTTTAAGGATCGTATCGACTTCATTTTCTACAAGGGCTTGCATGTGCTTATCTATCATCATCCCCAGGTTCTTCACATATTCCACTGCGACCTCATGCCCAAGCAATGGTTGTTGGATGGCACACAAACAATTGATGAGGAAAAATTTTAGAGGATGTTTCACTAGACTGCACCAATCCATTAAACAGGCATTAGGACGAAAGCAGTGAGGAAGATTATGCACAAGTGACTCACGATCCAATTTATATATCATTAAATACAGGGACCTTTTATTTTCAAAAAATACACCAATTTCCCGTGTCATGGCTGGTTTTTGATAATCTAATATTTGCAGATAGGGTTCTAGTACCAAGGTCCTTTTTGTATATCTAAGATTCTAAAATCCTGAGGAAAGTATAATAATATCTTTGGTACCAGAATTTTCGGCTTTGTAGCAGAGCATGATAATCTCAGAAATCTAGTTTTAGCCTTAAAGCATAAATACAGAATAAAGCAATTGATCAGAATATTGGAGTGCGTCACAAAAATCTTTGAAACAAGCATGAAAAGAGGTAGTTACAGAAATTTCTAAGAATAAGACCCCATCATTGTACTTTTGGCTCGTTTGGAAGTACTTTTAAAATGATTGAAAGTCCTTTTAGCGAAAATGTTTTTGGGTTCTAAAAGCACTTTAAGTGCTTTTCCAGGATTCACTTGCATTTTTATTAAGAATTGGTTCCAAAAACATTTTTCACCGGAAGTGCTTTCAGCCATTTTAAAAGCACTTTTTTTTGGTATAGATTGACATGGGATTCATCATAACTTAGCACCAGGAACAGATACAAACTAGAGTTGACGAGAATTACAACAAAATCTAACAGTAATCCACGATATCCTAGGACTGGCTGGAGATTAATCTGAAATTAGAGGCTAGGAAAGTAATGAGAAAAGAAACCTGAGACGACGGGGCAGAATTGCTGCTGGACAATAGTGCGTCAACTGGTGATTTACCAAATTGACCTAAGTCAGAACTCATCTTACTTCTTCTTGAAGAGTGGCCAACTCCCTTGGACTTGTGCGCCTCTGCAGCTTGCTCACATATCTGCAATGGTAGAAGCAAGGAACTTAATTCAACATATTTAATAAATTAAACGTCAATCTCAGATCTCAATTTCTGACTGAAGAGTTAAAGAGACTAATTTTCACATGGAGTGCATCAGCACGGTTTTGAATCCCTTTAAATTTGTAACATGATTAATAAAAGAGGTACAACGAAACAATTTTCTCAGTATGATGTTTCAAGATTTGACTCCACACTGCGAGTCTGCAACAAGTTTGGCTTCCAAGGCCAGGTGTGCCAACTTAAATCATTTACAGGAGTGGTTCTACTAATATAAAAAGCAACTGTTTGAGGGATTACACAAACTCACAACAATAGGCGCAAAGCACTCAAAGGAAGTTCTCAGTAAGTTTGTTCTAATTAATGGGAATGTGACAGTTTTGAAGCTTCAAGCATGCCTAAAGACTAATGTCAATGTTGCTTTGACCATCATGAAACCAGAAGCAAGCTTATCAATCATGCCATTCACATAACGAAATGTCCAGCACAACGCACCTTAACAATTGGGTCGAGTAAAGCAGATATGACTGGACCAAAAGAAGGATCTTTGCCTAAAGTTGGAAGCATCATGCTGTTATGAGTCTCAACTATTTCTAGCAACAGTGAGACTCCTTCCCTTACTGCTGGTGGAGGGGAGAGATCAACAGAAACAAGGGGAGGGTACCTCAAAAGCTTTTCCCCTCGGGTTTTCAGAATATCAAAGAAAGTTTTCTGAGCAGCATCTTTTAGTGTCCACAATGTATCAGATAAAGCTGTTTCTCTCCCAATAAATTCTGATACCTGCAAGTAGCAAGTAGATAGACAGCCATATATTAGGGAAAAAGGAAAAGAAAAGCCAGATAACATGTGGATCAACTTATTCCATTGATGAATATGAAAAGGCATCACTTACAGTGTGACTGTAGAACTCCAGGGTATTACTTAGTTTTGTATGAAATTATGAGACTGGACTGGGACTGCAAAACTTGTTCAACTCTTACTTTAAATGGCCGGCAAACTCCCTCAAAAATTCTATCCATAACAAACATCAAATCAGATTCTGTCTTTCGAGAATCACTCTCAGGGCTCTTGGAGAACTGGTTTCTGGTTGGACTTGTATCTCCCGTAGCATCTGGATCCAGTAACGCATAGACAAGTTCCCGCTCAGATGCTAAGGCCTGCAACAGGAGCAAGAAAAGACAGACGATGAATATAATTCACAAATGGAAGCGCAACACAACCAAGATCTTTGTTTTCACACCTGATGTAACCAGCCTAGCATGTCCCCAACATATCGTAAGGGATCATGAGCATGAACTTCAATCGGTCGAGGCATTCCACCAGGTCCTCCACGTGTAAGAGCACTGATAAACCGTCTAAACAATGCATTATGCCTCATGTTTGCTACCTAGAAGATTCACTGACAAGTGAATAAGCAAGGTAATAGATAAAAGGGAGAAATGGTTAGCACAGAGAATCACCTCTTCTGCACAATACTTAAAAAGCACAGGCCTTTCCTTGAGGCAACGAACTGCTGTTTTCAAAAGATCATCAACTTGAGGATTATCAGAGTCACCAAGTCTTCTACATTCCGCCTGAACCCACCTAGAACACAGGAATAATTAAAGACTCATACATCATATCTCATCTATCCCAGCAAAATGCTAGTCTCAAAATTTTGAAACAATTATACATATAGGTAATGTTCTCAGTTCTCTTGCCGTATCAAAGAATGTTATGTTGCCATATTGTAATCTTGGCCACGTATGTAAACAAGAATTCACCTAATTAGTGGTCTAGATTGACAGTCTTCCAAGATAACATGTTAGACCATTCGAGAAGAGAAATTTACCTCATACATACGCATATTAAGGAAGATGGTAAGAAAATAAAAACCTGCACAGGCGCTCGTACGCTCCCTCTTGGTAGACAGCCATCATATCCATGAGCTCCAGACCGGCACGCTGCAAGTGAATTGTAATTGAGTAAGGATCACCTTTCATGTCTCCTGGCTCCCGAAAATTTTTCAATGAGAGTAAAGAGTACCTGGTGATGAGTCCTCAAGAGCAATTTACAGTTGGCATGAATTTCTTGAACATGATTAAGCGCCTTGAAGAAGTTTTCATTCAGTTCTTCATCCCTCAATGCACTTATCTAACAAACCCAAATCAACAAATCAACCAACTGATTCAAATCTCAACACAAATCAACACCAAAACCCAAATCAACAACTAAATCAATTGATTCAAATCTCGCAACAAAAACCCAAATCAATCAATAGAATCAAATCTCAGAACTTATAAACGCAATTGGTTTGATGGATACCTCTTGATTAGAGAGCTGGTAATCGCGGAGGAAGCAAGAGACGATCTGCTGCCTCTGAGTGGTGACGTTGAGCTCCTGCTTGAGCCTTTCGGTGGTGGCGATAATGTCACCGGTGGTGGCGGTGCAGCTGCTGAGAGCGACGGCGATCTTGTCGCAGCTAGTGGACAAGGCACTGACCTCGTCCTCCACGCGATCCAAGGCCTCTTGGGCTGCCAGGGAGGCCTCGAGGGAACTCGAGGTTGGTGGCGAGGCCTCGC